GCGAGACGACACGCGGCCGGTTCCCCACAGCACACAAATTTACCTGGCAAGCCAGACTTACAAAACTGAATATAAAGCTAACATAACCTGTGGTTCCCAGGTCAGGGATGGCTGGCTGTTCTCGCAGAAGGTAAGGAGACGTGATGGGGTCCTCGGGGAGGACCTCAGCTGACAGGATGGCGGCCGCGGGCACTGAACAGGACTCACAGGTCTACTGACCACTCCCGTGGTCATCACGTAGGCTTACTAGTTACTGTTCTTTCTTTCTCTGGAAAACCATTTTTCTGTTCACCAGCTAAGCAATTCGCTTACTGGCATATTTTACTGTAGTTCTGGGTCTATCTTAAAAAAAAAAAAGTAAATTACTGCACATCAGGTTCTCAGTAAGACACCGAACCCTTCCCCAAACACTTAGAAGGCACACCCTTGCTCTCCCCCTAGAGGCTCTTCTTCCCACATCCAAATTAATATATTCCTGAGTATTGTGCCACACACACTCACTAAACCAACTATTTAAAGATTGTACAATTAGGACCCAGAGGACGCAGAGTGAGGGCAGCACTTCTATCACTGGGCTTCCAGCTGTCCGGCAAGTGCATGCCCTCTCAGAGCAGCCCCCGGGGGTCAGGCCATGCTACACACACGAGGCTCAGTTCTGAACTGAGAGGCACAACCACGACACGTTGGACAAGATAAGGGGGATGCTAAGGTTCCAGGGCCACAAAATTAGGATTCCTCCACTGTAAAGAAATTACACATAACAAAAGATGAAGTTTTCGGATTTCCCTCCGCAAGACTGATGTGTGACAGTTTAACTGAAAGATATTACTACATACACAAGCACAGAAAATAAATCATTTTCAAGGACAATCACATCTACTTCTTATTCAAAGTTCAGGACCTACCACCTAAATTTGTGAATGTTATTATTTATAAAACAATAACTAATAATTTTCATTAACCTAAGTGTTAAATTTTGGAGACCATGAGAAAATACCGTGGAGAAAGAAAAACCAAAGGCTATTCTGAAAGACTACATAAAGCTCCTTTCAGTTTCTTCTGAACACCACCAACAATGGCCATGGTCCATGAGAAGAGCACACAACATAAAATTCAAAGAATTACGTCCAGGGGCGCCTGGGTGGCTCAGACTTCGGCTCAGGTCATGATCTCGCAGTTTGTGAGTTCGAGCCCCGTGTCGGGCTCTGTGCTGACAGCTCAGAGCCTGGAGCCTGCTTCGGATTCTGTGTCTCCCTCTCTCTCTGCCCCTCCCCTGCTCATGCTCTGTCTCTCTTGCTCTCAAAAATAAATGAAGCATTAAAAAAAATTAAACAAACAAAAACCCAAAGAATGACATCCACGCTTCAAAAGGTCCAAAAGCCAAACCAGCCTTAAGTTTAACGTGTCTACTGGTCACAAGTATAATCACTTTATATTTCCTTGTCGTTAGGACTTGCTCTATTGGAAGACCAGTAAGAAGCCAAAAGGTCTTAAATATATTAATTGTTAAAAACACCAAAGAAGAGTTTAAGGAAAGAATATATTTGAACCACATAAACAAAAAAGTATTACATAAGAAAAAAAATGTAACAATTTATGTAAGTACCTAACATTTGAGCATGCTCTTACATCTAAAACAGATAACAAAAAGGTAATGGGTACTATATATGTACATTTCACAAGTGTGCGTTAAAGAATTCTCTAATATAAAACATTTAAATTGTGGAGAATACTTTTCATGATACAGAAGACAACTGTCAAGATAGGCACACCCACAACCCTTACAAAAACATGCTTGCCGGAGATAAAATACATCTGAGTACTCACTTCTCAGATGTGAACACTCCGCACCTGTCAGTCATTGGACACCGCTTCTCGCTTTTGCACTGTGAGTGTCAACACTGGTGTGGGTTATGAATTACAATCAATTACCGTTATTTTTCAATGTTTCTGCCAAACTCCCAATAAAATGCACCTATTTAATATGAATACTTGAAACAATATTATTTGTATATAAAGTCACTTCCTTAATGCTTTTTTTTCTTTTTTAAAAAAGACACTATATTTATTAGAAAATAGTTATGACCACACATAGTGCTTTGGAAAATCTGAAACCCCAAATCAACACGTTCCATCAAGTGTGAGTAGCTCTAAGAAGCCCTAACTGAAAAGAACACAGAATGTAAAAAGCTGATAAATTTAAAGATTATAAAATTGGTTTATTGTGAAAGCAATTCAAGAATACCCAGTTAAAATCTTATCCCGACGCTACCCGATACAACCAGGAAGCACTTAAACACTTTTACGTTAGGAACGAGGACATACAACAAGAAAGGCCACGTCAACGCTGTGATCAGAGGAAGGACTCCTAGGTCTCTGTCAGGTCATCAGTACAGAGGGCATGACAAGGTCAAATATGGCGGCCGTCAGGTGCCTCAGCACCAAGGTGTAACCGGCGAGCTAAAGTCGAGGCGACAAGAACTCCTATTCCTGTTTTGTGGCTGTACTGAAGTGACTGAAACTTTAGGAACAACAACCTTTAATGACAGCGAGTTGCAAGACCAGTCTTTACGGAAGAAAAAGAAATTCATCAAGTCCTCTACCAAGGTCCCACTGAGTCCTCGAGACCCCTGCCATGCCCCCCCCCCCCGCCCCCCGCCCCCGGGCCTAAGCCTACTCTGTGGCTGTTTCAGATGCAGCTTACTGGCAAGCTGGGAGTGCCTTCCGAGTAGCTCTGACCTTCAGCACAAGAGAAAAAACAACATGCTGGATCGTCCATTTACTCAATTATGCATTCCAGGTACAATTTCATTATTGCTCTTAAAAAAAAAAAATCAGTGAATCTGCACAGTGGCCATTTCCCCTCAGGTAAGTCAAGATTTACTCTTTCTGTTGTTTTCTTAATAAAACCCTTAGATCCAGTAATTGCAAATGATCAACCTAAGGATCATTATGTACAGCACAGCGACTGCATGTTTGAGCACTGGAGGTACTTAAGCTAAAATGTCTCACTCCTGACTTCTGCTCTCCTCTAAACTGAAGGGTCAAAATACTCTGATTTTGTAATTAAAAAAAAAAATCTATCTTCCCAAGCATATCTTCCATTAACAGTTTTAGCCAGGAAAATAGATTTTTATGTCTGTCATGAGCCCTTGAAAATAAGGGCTTATTCTAGAAACAATGAAAGACCCTTAATCACAGAGGCGCTAGCTGGTGCCACTATAATTCACAACCAACTATTACCTTCATAGCTTATACTGAAGAGTTGATTCATGCTCATTTTGTTCCTTTAAAAAATACTCTTTGGAAACCATTATGACTCCTGTAGACACATACTCTAGTTATATCTCTTCCTGTAAAAATAAAAGTATAATCAGGATCATCTCTATTTCTTTGCTAAACTCAACTACCGATATACATTTCTTAAATCTGATCACTTTACCAGCTAACTCACAACCTCGACAGAATTCTATGTACTGTCCAGGGTCAGTTCTCAGCATACAGAAGTAGGAGCAAGTCTTTTAAGAACTATCTTGTAGGCAATATTTCCATGTAGTCTTTAATGTGTTTGTTACAAATGAGAACTAAGGTACTAGGATTTACTCCCAAAACTAGGGCGAAGGTAAATTTCCAAAGCTAAAGGAAGGAAAACCACTATGTAAAGCTTACCTCTGTCACGTATATTATGAACCTATTCAGTGATTTCCCATCAAAGCTTAAAATTAGTCCCAGGGATTATCAAGGGGAAAATAAAGCCCTATCTTGTTTTCTTCTTTCAAATTCATCAGACAATACTGTGTGCCAGAGGGCAGACTGTGCTCCTCTCAACACTCTGCGTAAAAACAGCCCTTTCTAGAATACTAAACTACCCAAATGTCTGCAGACTGCCCCAACCAGGTTTAAACTACCTCTGAAATATAAACTACTAGTCATGTATTCTAAATGCATACATTCAAAACTACCATTTTAAAATAAATTGGAAAGTAGGGAAACCTTAAAAAAAAAAGATACATTCTGCTATCACACTATTACAAAGATTATAAGTGTGTGTGTGTGGGTATATATAGAGAGAGCAGATAATCATGATTTAAATAAGATGTTAAAAAAATCAGGAAATGTAGATTTTTACCAAAGGCACTACAATAGCCGCCCCGAGATACAACTATAAACAGATTCTTCGCTACTATGGTAATTTGTCTAGGTTGGGGGGTGGGGGTGGGGGTGGGGGCAAAAACAAAAACAAAACAAAACAAAACAAAAACACAACCCAACCAATCAAAACGGAAACAAACAAACAAGAAGCAAACCCACAATAAACCCACCCAAACCTATACTAGAGTATGTGGCAATAATTAATATATTTCTATGGAAAAAACTCTCTCATGCCTTATAAGCTCCTAAAATAAAATCAAGGTCACTATGTGACTAACGAGAACACTAGGAGGGGAAAAAAAAACACTGAAAGTAAAACAGTCTTCAGCCTCGGTTTCAGCTAGCTCATCAAATCCGCGCGAAGTACGTAACATCAGACCCGACATTCCTGGCCTGGCAGACGAGCCAGTTGTGGTTTTCCACTGGCCACACCACACGCAGCTGAAGAAACAACTGCCTGACAGAGTAAATGCTGTGACACGAAGCATCCGAGTTCCAAGTCTGAGTATTCAGTTAGGGTGATGGGCGAGTGTCTAACTGGGCAAAAGGAAAGGCGTCCATCGTCCGAACAGGCTCACTTCCCCCAGCCCCCAAAACGAACAGTAGTTATAGTAGCAAAAGAAACAACAAAAGTCTCGAGTCTTTAGGGCCAACTAGGATAGAGGTCAGCAATATATTAACAGCAGCAACGGACAAGGAAGAGCGAGACAGTGGGTGAGAGAATCTTGCTGGACGTCTGTTCATCGTTCTCTGTATCAGCCACAGGACTGCGACCGGCTATGCCTGGAAATTTCGGGCACATCTCCTCAGATCCTTCACAGATTTGGAATTCGGTCTACCTGAGGGCTCTATAGCCATGTGAGAAAGCTTTCTTTGTCGAGCTTGGTGGCGGCCAGCACGGACTCCATGTCGTTGAGGATGTCTGAGCTCAGGGCTTCCTGCAGACTAGGCATCAGCTCTTCCCCCTCTATGTTCATCCCGTCCCCCTCCAGCGTCCCGAGGTCCACGTTCGTCCCAGGAATGGCTTCTAGGTAGTCTGGGAAGCGGTTCTGCTGAGAGGGGAGGGTGCTTTGGTTGATAGTGTCGCCTAATTGGGACGGAGAGGAGAGAGTCGGGTTTGAAAAAGCGGACATCAGAGCTGTGCGACGTGAGCCTTCAGACACGCCAGACTCACCCCCGAACCGATGCCCAGAGTTTATTTCAGGCTGAACAACTCACCGAAGACAAAATAATGCCAAGTTTACTTTTGCTTCAACATGGGTTCAGATACTAAAGCCGCAGCTTGACTGCTTGTTACTATGTACTGAGCACTGAAAGGGGTCACGGGAAAAACCGAAATCCCTTGAAAAACTATCTCCAGTAAGAGAAAGAACACGTACATCACACACGTGCATCGCTACTGGATGCTCTTCTAGAGAGAAACCACTAAGTGAGATAAATGTAAAAGTCACGGTGTGGAGTGAATTCAAGCACACTTTATGGCAGGTCGAAATTGACGTTTTCCTGGTTTTAAAACAGCACGGACAGCTTAAGCGCTCTTTGACCAAAACTGGTAACGTGACTTATTTCAGCACTTAAAATACTGAGTTAGCTGGCCAGGCACTTGAGGGCCCTCTCCAATGACTCGCAATCTTAAACCTGGAGAGAGACTTCTCTCTGTGATCCTCCTGTTGTACGGGATTCAGTGTTACACCCTGGGGAGCACTAGTGTAAAAGGGATGGATGAAAACTCTATTCCGGCCTTGGAGATTCCCGTTCCTCACGGCAAAACAAGCGTCCCAGAAGCCCGTGAATAAATAACCCTCCCTTGCCTTCCCTCTAAGGGTTCCCTGATTTACCTGGCCAGGAAACCTTTTTTTGAGCATGACCACATTCGCATTCCTTAGAGCTCCCGGGCACATACCTCCCGGGAAAGCAGCACAGAGCATGGAGGGCACAGGGGTTTGGAGAAGAGCAAAGGGGAGGGGGGAGGGGGAAGCGTGCTGGGCGTGAGATGGGTCTCAAGTGTGGGCACGGGAAGGGGGACCAGAGTCTGAGGGAAGCAAAGAAGGTGGCAGGGTGCACTCTCAGGAGCACTGAAGCCGTGAGCTGGATGAGCGACCCGCCAGCAAGGGAACCCGCTGCTGGAGCCGCCGGGGGGCTGCTCCGTCTCTCGGCCAGTGCGTGCCCTGCGCTCGCTGCCAACTCCAGGGCCATCGGTGCTCGCCAGTTCCTTGATCGGCTCCTGCAAGATGCCCCGCAGCTATTCTGACAGTAAGCAGGTGAGCCCCACAGCCTCGTCTTTCCACCTGGTCTTCTGAGCCCCTGACACCTAAGTTGGAGCAGAACCCTCAGGGAAGGGGCAGGCGCACACCGAATCGCATTCGGTAGAGGGCGAGCGGATCGCAGACAGAAGTCTCTCTCCAAGATTAAGAACATGAGCCATCAGGACGCCAGGGGGCTCAGTCGGTTGAGCGACCGACTTCAGCTCAGCTCATGATCTCACAGTTCGTGGGTTTGAGACCTGCTTCCGATTCTGTGTCTCCCTCTCTGCCCCTCCTCCCTTGCTCATGCTCTGTGTCTCAAAAATGAATAAATGTTTAAAAAAAAAAAAGTTTTTTAAAGGAAGGGAGGGGAGGGAAGGAAAAAAAAAGACAAGAAAAGGAAAGAAAGAAACTGAGTCATCAGAGAGGATCCTCAAAGGCCTTGCCAGCTAACTCAATATGTAAGTGCTAAAATAGGTCACATCACCAGTCGTCATCAGAGCTAAGTCGTCCAGGATATTTGAAAACTGGGAAACAGATTACAAAGTGCCATGGAGAAACAAAGCAGGCTTGATCTGAATCAAGTTTTCAGGATTTTAGCTGGTTTTATTTTTTTAAGGGTATTTACTTATTTTGAGAGAGAGAGAGAGAGAGAGAGAGAGAGAGAGACAGAAAGAGAGAGAACATGAGCTATGGAGGGACAGAGAGAGTGGGAGAGAGAATCCCAAGCAGGCTCCATGCTGTTGGCACACAGCCCGATGCGGGGCTTGAACCGTGAACCTCGAAACCACGGCCTGAGCTGAAGTGAGAGGTTACCTGACTGAGCCCCGCAGGTGCCCCTTAACCGGTTTTCTTCCGAGCTGCCTTTGCTCACAGCAGCTTGACAGACCTGCCATGTCTTGCCGATGGACCGCTAAGAATGAAGCACACCCACCTGTGTCCATCTCATCAACACTGTTCAAGAAGTCGTCAGGGGTTCGAGGGACGCTGTAGCTGCTCATGCTCAGTCCGCTGTCTGTACTCTCATCACGGGAGTGGTAGGTGCCACTACAAAACAGGACAGTTACAGAGCAACACGAGGGCTTCCAATGATTTCCAGGTAAACATGGAAACACGGTTCTCCAAGATGACGAGTAACCATTCCTGCAGCGTAAGAAAAGAGCCCCTCCTCCTTTGGGATCTTACACAGCCCTGGAGGGAAGGGAGGCAGACAAGTTCATCCTTTTCTTTCAAAGTCTGTTTGTTTCTTTATTTGAGAGAGAGCGAGAGAGACATTTCATGTGTGAGCACAAGTAGGGGAGGGACAGAGAGAATCCCAAGCATGCTGCACTACCATCAGCACACAGCCTGACATGGGGCTCAAACTCATGAACGGTGACATCATGACCTGAGCCTAAAGCAACAGTTGGATGCTTAACTGAGCCACCCAGGTGCCCCAGACAAGCTAACCCTGACTGAAGCTGGCAGCTTTAAGGAACCCAAACCACTCTGAAGGTCCTGGGTCAGGTGGCAAGAAAAGAAAATAAGAGGGTGCCTGGTTGGTTCAGTCGGTTGAACATCCGACTTCAGTTCAGGCCATGATCCCACGGTTCGTGGGTTTGAGTCCTGCGTCAGGCTCTGTGCTGAAAGTGCCAAGTCTGCTTGGGATTCTCTCTTCCTCTCTCTCTGCCCCTCCTCTGCTCTCTTTCTCTATCTCAAAATGAAATAAGCATTAAGGAAAAGAAAAGAAAAAAACATACAGCCACAGTTTCCTGGATGACAGAAATTCTCTGTGTAGGTATGCTCTCTGCAACACCATCTCTGTCTGGGGGGGTGGGGGGGGGGAGGGGGGCGGAGCGGGTGCACACAGTCTGCTTATTTCAAGGTCTCCATCTCCCAGGTGGGACAGCACAGGCATCGAATCAAAATGCAACTCCAGGTACTGGCGAGACAGGTTGGCACTACACTCAGATCCCCAGCTCGTGCAGAGTTCAAGCGAAGGAAACACCAACCCAAGACAAAGAACCAGAACTCCTTTTGGACCGGGCCAAAACAGACGGAGTCACCGCCGACAAGGTGAGAATTTCCTTAACCAAATCTCCTTGCTTCTGTGTAGGGGAAAAAACCCCAAACACCTCAGCTTAAGACAGGAACCCTTATCGTTCCAGCTAAAGGACACATTTAAGAAAACAACTACCGGGCACACACCCTGGGGAAAAACAGAAAAACACGAATCAAGATTTTAACTTTAGGCTAATGAAGTTAAACACAGTCAGTCTTCATTGCCTACATGAACACACAATCTCCCCTCACTGCCCGTATGAGCACAGGGTCTAGCCTAAATATCCTCACTGCCTGTGTGAGCACCCAGTAGGAGATCTCACTGCCTGCTCGAGCACACAGTACTGTAGATCTCCTCACTGGCTGCGTGAACAGAACATCGCCCTGAGCTCGTGGCACTCCCAGCAGCTGGCATGGACAGCAAAATCTGGGTACTACTAATTTTTAAAAATCTATGGTAAAGTGGGGTTCCTGATGGTCTCTGTCAGGGATGTGAACCGTAACTTTTCTCAATGCCTGGACACTTGGGCAGCTCTTTAGCTCACACAAAAGTGCACCAAAAAACCCACCTAAAGCTATGAAAACCAGCTTTCACAGTCACTTGGGGTTGAACACCCAATCCCCCCACATTTCCTCCCTTATTACCTGATGCAGGTGCTCTGTCCTCCCCCCAACCCCGCACCCCGAAACTGCTGGATTACTCCGATGCTTCTGCCAGATTCTGGCAAGACGCAAAAGCCTCACAAAGACACAAGAAATCACAGATGAGCATCTGAGACCGTCTGTGTAAGATACAGCTGCCTTGGAGCAGGCCTCCCTCAGGATACGCTCGGTTTCCCTTCCACCAAAAGCGCACGCACGCACCACGCACAGGGCACTCGGGGGCAAAGGGCTGACTCATGGGGCCATGCACAACTCTTCCCGAGGAGCCCGCACTCCTGGGGCCTGCAGCCCGCCACCTCACACATGCTCCCTGGGCACCTGCTCCCACGGGATGGGCCTGAGCCCAGGCCCCTGAAGACAGAGAGGGAACAATAAAAACCTACGAATGATGCTTTCTGAGAGGCTCATGACGTCAAGGAGGGAGGTGAACAAACACGGTGACGAATCACACTCCGGCGTTAAGTGAGCAAAGTGTTTTAAAATAGAGCGAAGAGAGGGGTGTGGAAAAGTCTATGGAGAGGACACGAACCTGACCTCCGAGGGTGTCAGGGCAGAGGGGACACGGGATGCCACACGAGGGACAAGAGTCAGCATGGTGGCAAGGTGGGGTCCCAAGTGTTTGGAGCTAAGATACGTTTGAATTGAACACTAGACAACAGGGAAGCCATCCAGTTTCTGTAAGAGAAATGCTACAGTCAGACGGGTTTTAGAAGCTGGGGTACTTCACCGAGTGGAGAAAGGACTGCCCCCACAACAGCAGCATGGACGATCGGACACCCCGTGACCTTTACCAGGAAAGTCTCAAACTACAGCCCAGCCTTCAGTGAAGTTCTAAGAGAATCTTCACGAACAGCTGCCAGAAGGACATGCCGTCCACCTGCATCCCTACAGTCCAACTGCACCCCGGGGCCAACACAGGTCTCCAAATGGGCCCTGGATTCTACTGATCTGAATTTTCCTTGTGGGGAAAAAACAAAGTTCTGGCTTCAACCTTTCCAAATTAACCTCGTTTAAGTTCACGACTGCAATCTTGTGTAAATACACTCAACTTCTGGCCCAACTTTAAACTGGATGTGTCAAAGGAGCCAATACAAACTTGAAATACATTCTCGATGGCCTTCGAAATCAAGCCTGGGAAGCAGGGCACCAGTGCCAGTCTTACCACCAAGCAAACTATGGGATTTCTACGGTACTAAGTATTTTGGTCACATGAGAGAAATGTTGTTTTTCTAAGATCACGAAGTTTTCAGCTTAGCTGGTGTTGACCGAAAGCACGGTACGATAGCTTTCCTAAACCAAACATTTTTTAAATGGTTTAAAAAGTGCATTGCTTAGAACTGGTTAAACACACACACACACACACACACACACACACACACAAAACCAAAAGTAAAAGTACACAGACAAGACAGCATTTGTTCCTTATTTTTAAAAACCGAAATTCCATAAATATCTTGCAACCCAGAAGAATGAACCGTAGTCAAGCCTTAGTTGTAAATGGTTTTCCTGGCGCAGAGTGTGACCTGCTTCCATACACGGCACCGACATTTCTGCCGGAAACCCATCTGGGTGAACTCACTGAAAAGGACCTGTGGGCTGCGTGAGTTTGAAGCAGTGTCTTTGATAGTGTCTTTGTGTGTTTTTACAAAAGGCACAACCTTACGTTTCATGTCCCTGAACTTCCTTTAGCGAAAGCGCAGGGCCCACACTCATGTGGGAAACTCCTGCCCAGGATCCTTCAAACGCAGGCCTGAGGACGTTTAGGACCACGTTCGTCTGCTTTCGTGGAAGGGCACGCACGTGCCCGCCGACTCTGTGGTGTTAAGTCACCGTCAGTCAACAGACAGAAGCCAACACGTGACTGGGAAAGTGTGCCCAGGTCCCCGCGGCCCATGTCCTCCCACGGGAGCCGGCTCTGAACCTGGAGTTCCACTGTCCTCGCCATTTACAGCAATGCCGCCTGGCGTCCCCCCCGACGCTCCTGAAGCTGCTCCCCTTCTCAGTGGCCGGGAACAGCCCTCACCCACCTGTTAAGAAAGGGATCGGAGCTAGTGGTCGTCATTGTCCTCAGCTCCTGAGACATCCCAGGCGAAGGCACTGGGTTCTGAGTCCCACCTTCCTGGTCCAGTGTCGGTAACTGGCTACGAAGAGCTAATTCCTAGAGAAAAAAAACACGGACAGAATCAGTCTACTGACAACAAATGTACCGTTCGAATGAAAGAAATAAAACGCACACTAGGGGGCCAAGTACATACAAAGTTCAAGTGTTAAAGTGTCTACTTCAAAGCTAACAGTTTTCCTGGTCAGAAAGACCAAGTTCTCACATGCATTTCCAATGACTGAAAATTAAGCTGCATAAATTCAAAGTTGATCTAGTCTTATTATCCCCCAAACGTACACACTTTCCTACCTAACTTCATTTTGTTATTTTTTCTTACTCTGGCAGACACTCCCAAGCCCGCCCTACCGGGCACGACGGCAATTCTGGTCTCGCGAAAAAGAATTCTTCAAGTTTACTTCTACGCGCCAACTGTCCTCTGAGTCTGCACCAGGAATAAAGTCAGAAACACGCCATCGGAGGGTTTCCGAGCAGCTGCCATTGTCTCTCTGCTGGACTTGGGGTTGCACCCGCGCACCCAGACAAGCCCGGCCGAGGCCACGCGCCTCTCTCTGCTGCTCTGTCCTTTCTCCTCTACTCCCCTTGGGTCCCCGCCCTGCCTCTCAAGCTCTCCTAAAGCTCAGGTGTGCAGCTTCCTCTCTCTTGGCTTTCTGGTTTGACTTGAAATGTGGCTTTTGACTCCAAAGGACGCCGCCCCCACAGAGCGCACCCTCCTCCCTCCTCTGCAGTCTGAGCCTGCACCACCTCCCACTGAACCACGTCTACGCCTGCTGAATACAACAGCCTACGAACGGGGGTTTCTTAACCGGAAGATCATGACAGAATGCAGAGGGTCTGTGAACTTGGGTGAAGAAAAGAAAATGCCACCTTCATTTTTCACCAACTCCAACTGCAATTTAGCATTTTCTTCAGTTACAAATACAGGCAACTAAACAGCAGTGTTTGTTATACCCTCTGACTTTCCATCAATGGAAAACATGTTCATATCATAATGTAGTTGCAAATATCTTAAATTACCACTCATGCTCATCACTACTTCAGTGCTACTTAGTTATAAGACACGCTGTTATGTCTGGTTACTTACACATCAATTACCGAATGAATGATTCGCTCAACAGGACTGCTCCTCAGTCTTCCAGATTCCAATGACCCACACCCACCTCCGTCACCCACTTGTACAGCTGAGACTGTGTGGTTTAAGACCAAACCTACCTCTAAAACCTCGAGTCACGTTTGGGACAGTGATCACTGTGTCACTTCAGTGCACTGGCTCACCCTGGGTCACGCCTGTGCACAACGCCTACCTAATCATCTGTCACCAAACTCTTGGATCTCTGAATTGCAGTAAAAGTGACCACCATTGTACTTGAACCCCTAAACCCCTCTGCATCACCCCGGAGCAGGCACGGACAGTCCTCCCCCAGAAATCTCACACACACTCCTCCTGCCTTCTGGGACCACAAGTGCTCTGCCCACCAGCTTCCTGTGTGACCTCCACCCACCTCCCCTCCCCTCCTGTTCCAGTTGAGTGGCTTCCCCTTTTTTTTCCCATTAAAAAAAACCCTCAGGTGTAAGTAACACACGACATTAATCTCCAGTGTGTAACACAAAGACTCAACATTAGTACACATTGTGAAGTGACCCCCACAATCACCTGAGTAGATACCATCCCTACACAGCTATGTTTTTTTTTTCCTTGTGATGAGGACGTCTAATATTTATTCTTTTAGCAACTTTTAAATATGCGATTATTATCCCGTTAATTATTAACTGTGGTCACCGTGACCTATTTTATACCTGGAAGTTTGCACCTTTTGGTCCCCATCCCCCAACCCCCAATGTGTTCTCTTTATCTACAAACTTGGCTTTTGTTTTGCTTTTTAGATTCCACTTCGTAAGGGAGACCATGCGGTATTTGTCTCTCTGACTGACTTCTCTCACTTAGCGTAACACTTTGCAGGTCCATCCGTGTTGTCACAAATGGCAGGATTTACACACACACACACCCCTTCATCCATTCAACTGTCAAAGGACACTCAGGTTGGTAAGCAGTGGGCAGCTAAATGGACACTTCGACAGATCTCAGGTCTTGGCCACCGTGAGTAATGACGCAGGGATACAAGCCTGAGCTCTGAGCTGATCGTCTGAAATACACAAGAGGCCACCTCACAGCAAACTGCCACCACGAGTCAGTACCACACACGTGCTTCCTCCATTTCTACAACAGGATTGCTAAGAAATGCCAGAGAAAAACACAGCTGTCCAGACTAGTCTAAATCGATGGTCTCTGGCCTTGAATGGCCACAGTCCCACTCTGTGATGTTCTGTTTTCTCACGTCCCCACCGTCACTGTCCCACACCCGGCACACGCTCTCAAGGCCGACGCAGTCAAGGTCGTCCAAACGTCTGTCCCGCGTCAGTAGGAACGCACAGGCTGTCCAGGCGTCTGGCTTTCTGCCTCCTCCTCTCGCAAAGCTCTCCCCAGTCGCACTCCTCTTCCTAACTCGTCCCCGAGTCTCCCCTGTCCCTGCCGAAGGCCAAGCCACTCTCCCGGCAGCCTCTGGGGACTCGCTGCATCTGTCCCCCCCGTCCATGCTCTCCACCCTCGCCAACCCCTCCCGCTGAGTGACCAGAACTTCAGAACTGCGAGGGTCTGTGGCTCGGCCCTGCTGTCCACACCTGCCTTTCGACTAGAGCGCTTTGCTCTCTTCTCTGTTATCTCAGACTCTGTTCCCTTCCCTGGGGAAGGGAGCTCTCTGCCATGATCCCATCTCCATCTTCGGAGAGACTGGACAGAGAGAGGTTACATCTGTAATAGTTTGAGCACAGGTATAACATGATCTTAACACTTATCACACAATATTGTAGTTCCTTCCTTCCTTCCTTCCTTCCTTCCTCCCTCCCTCCCTCCCTCCCTCCCTCCTTCCTTTCTTTCTCCTCTGTTCCTTGAGGGCACACTGAATGAATGAACAAATGGATGGTTTTGGAGCATAATACCTTAACTTCTGAGGCTCTGAAGAATTTATGCTGCCATTAAAACATGAGGATGTAAATAGGAAGAAATTTGAAAACGACGAGTGTTGTAAGCTCTGGACGAAGCTGATGCTTAGAGTTCTGTGAGGGAGGGAGCCGGAGATCTGTCAGAACACGGCAGTACCTCGCAAATATCGTAAAGAGAGCCTCATTTGCTTTCTACTTCCTATCAAAGAAGGCAGGCACCGGTTTCTGCAGAGCAAACACAGGACCTGACACTACTCCGACTCGTTACTAAAATAACCAATAAATTGGCTATGATTTTTATGTTAACCAATTTCTATTTTACTTTTGCTTATGAAGTTCCCACTTTTTCGACATCGTTTTATGAAGCTAAAGCTAACTGTCAGGCGCAGATTCTCCATGTTTTTGCTACTCTGGATTTTACCACTTTGCCGAATCTCGTCGGCCGCGGTCTCTGACAGCTGAACTGCTGTTGTCAGCGGCCGCCACAGACCCGCCGCCAACACTCGCAAAGAAGTTCATCTGGAGATGTGCCTGAAGCCGCCTGAGGGCTACAAGGGCCCACGGAGACGCGCTTCTCATCCGATCTGTGCGGGGGCCGTGACAGGGGCCGTGTCGGGTTCATGTGAAGTGAGTCCGAGAGGCTCAGGAGAAAATGCCATTTTACTGCACTGGTGTCGGTGGGGTGGGGGCGTCAGCATTGCCAGCGGCATGAAAACAAACATAACGTGCTAAGGCCAGTGACACATATACACACAGATCACAGAAACCAAAGCAAGGTAGGAATATTCAGCCCAGTTTTGAAACTTCTAGACATAGCAAAAAGAACAGAGTTGATTAAACGCCCTATGTAATTTCTGAACAGTTTTACTGAGGATAAATGATGTATGAGTACTTATACACATATTACCCAAAAATGGATATTCTTAACACAGCCTAGTATTTGCTGAAGACAAAACTGCTTTAAGTGATTAAAGTCAACTTGGTAGCCCCCTCCCCAAGTCATTAATTCTCAATGTTTGTATTTCCATCTGCTGTTAATATAATTTATTCCACTGGGTTCAATAAGGAAGATAGAAAAATTTTGTTGATATTTGAAACAAACTGTCAAAAACAGGGGAAGGAAACCAAACGCATTTACGCATTTACGCAGGGTAACAGACCAACTTATTTCCCCCTTAACTTATGAATGGGGCTCAACTGAGCGCAAAGAGAACAACCTATGTGCTTCCCGCGCAAACACACGTGCACGCACCACACACCCACACAGAGAGTCCTGTGAAGGCAGGCCTCAGAGGTGACACGGAAATTCGGGGAAGTGCTTGACTCCATACTCTGCCTCGTCAGATTCTGGAGGAAAGGTCCTGTGGAGTCAGCAGGGACTGATAAATCCCGGCTTTTCACTGAAAGCAAGCTTACAACTGCTTGTACCCTTGGCCAAGAAATGGAAATGTGAAAGTGAACCAACTTACGTAAAATCAAGAATTTTAGCGGTACAATACTGAACTGTGTTTCAGAGCCATATAGACCTTTTGCAAGTGACTTTAGAGAAAAATAATTATAACTGGATAGGTATGAAAAAAGCTACATAAGCTGAATGTTTTAGTCACAAAATATATTCCATAGAAACCTTTTGTCCATTATACGGCATGCATCGATACGAACCTGTATAGAATAAGCCTGCTCTAGTGCAATAAAGTAGTTTTTGCAGAACTCACTCTGGACAAATATGGACAGTGAATCTGGCACAGACGTTTCAAAACAAGTTTGGGGACATAACTGGATCATCTATAAAAACTGATTTCAGTTGAGACACTTCATGTTGAAAGTTATGTCTATCTCTAAGGAGTCTTTTACTGTGAACAAATGCCTAAAATTAGAATACTAAGCTAAAAATACAAGTTTGTTAAGCTTCTCTTTTTCCCAAAGGTAGTTAGAATAAACAGTTTGACAGACTTTCAAAAACGGAGAAACAAGTTATAGGAAATTTGGCCAAAATTTAATCATGCTTCTGTATTTCAAAGGTCAAAAAGTTCTTTTAGAGCATTTGACTTTTTCTAAATGAAGCAAGTATTTTTAGCTCTTTTTCTTCTGTAATAATAAAAAAATGCGGCAGCTTTTCCCAGCGAGCTTCTAAATCTTAGCTAATGTGGCACAGACACATTGGGAGTCACAGCTATCTGCACTGTGAGTAACACGGATGGTCCCAGCTTGGTCCAAAGGGAACTTTCCGGGGTGGCTTGTGAGGGCAAACTCAAGTTGGCCCTCGTTACGTCGTGGACTTTTATGGACTTGGGGTCTCGCCAGAAGCCACTGGCCCTTTTTACGTTTCCCTCCAGTCGCTTAAATAGCAGTATCCTTCCCCACAGGGTGAAAAAGACACTTTAAGATAATATATATCTGGTAGTTAAAATATTTTTCCCCCATAAAAAATGAGTACTTTGCTTCACATCATTTAGAAAAATAAGGAGAAAGGCAGCAGAAGCAGTCATCAGTCTGGAAACATTTAGAACATTTCTGGGTTACTGAATTCTTAGGGTATCCAAGAAAAACGAAAGCACATGTCTACACAAAGTCGAAATTTGGAACAACCCAAATGTCTGTCAAAAAGTGAAAAGAGAAACAATCATAGGATAGCCCTACCATGGAATACTAGTTAGCAATAAAAAGAAAGAAGAGAGAGGTGCCTGGGTGGCTCAGTTAGTTAAGCATCCGACTCTTGGTTTTTGGCTCAGGTCATGACCTCACAGTTCATGGGAGGGAGTCCTGTGTAAGGCTCTTCGCTGACATCGCGGAACCTGTTTGGGATTCTCTCCCTCCCTCTCTCTCTGCCCCTTCCCCACTCACTCCCTCTCAAAATAAATACGTACACTTAAAAAAAAAAGTACGGACACAACATGAGTGGATCTCAAAATAATCACAGGTGAAAAGTTATGATTCCACTTAGAGAAAATTCTATAAAATATAACGTCAACTTCAATTACTTTTTTAAATCAAGTGTGTCTTTAAGCAAGCAAGCACTGAGCTGTGTTAACAGTGCATCCACTTTAGGGTAATACATGGTGCGTGATTGAAGGCGTGTTTTTTTCAGGGTAATCAACTTGTTTAAGGAAGGTTAGTTTAGTGAACCAGAAATCCAAACTTAGAAATGGAGAGTAACTCTAAAAATATACATCTTATAATAGTTTGTCTTAGTGATAGCAGGTTACGTCCATAATTTTAAAAACAGAGGGTAAAAAAAGGCCATTTCTTCCACTGTTCCAGAGACCTTGCCAGACCCCGCTTCCCAACCCAGCTATAAACACAGAATATTTCCTTACATTTTAAGTGACGAAAACATTCAGTCAATGATTAGAATGCTTTTGGTGTTTTAGTATGTGTGCCATTCACCAAATTATCTTTAGCTGCAGAACATTTTTTACTAAAAAACTGTACACATGGATCTGGGGCAGTTTTGAGAACTACAGTATGATAACAAAATCTGAAAGGGGTTGTCCAAAAGAGATTTGTAGTCTGGTGTTCCCAGCATTCTCCTGAGATTCAACACTTTTTCTGAAAGATCTCCAGAATTAGGTCTTCAGTAATTTGTTAATTATGGTGTCAATTCAAGTAATACACATTATTTTAACATTCTTCAAATAACAGAAACCTCAGGGCGCCTGGGTGGCTCAGTCACTGAAGAAGCATCCAACTTCAGCTCAGGTCATGATCTCACGGGTCACGGGTTTGAGCCCCGAGTTGGGCCTTGTGCTGACAGCTCAGAGCCTGGAGCTTGTTTCAGATTCTGTGTCTACCGCTCCCTCCGACCCTCCCCTGCTCGCACTCTGTCTCTTTCTCTCTCTCGACAATAAATAAACGTTAAAAAAAAATTAAAAAAAATTATAGAGACCTTAATGAGTAACACAAATGAGAGAACATGTTAGAATACGCGGGTGTGAAGTATATCAGAATTTTCAACACGCTTATTAAAAATACAATCTAAAAATTGATGAGGAAACACCTAAATGAATTTATGGTTTATTCAGCACTAGGACTTCAAAAAGAGGAGAGATAATCTTGGGCAAAGTCAACTCTGAAACAGCTTTAACAAGAAAGACAACTTGGAGAAACAAAAAGCCAAATTCTTTACCGTTCTTAAATTCTAGGAAAAAAAGACGGCCATTGTTTTCATGTGACCCTGAGCAGTGGTATTACGTTGCTCCATGTGGCTGAAACTAGGGACATCCAACCCTCTTCACCACTGCAGGCGACCAGTGTGGCGTCACGTCCTCCACACAGACACCGTGGGTCTCACCCTCGGGTGCATCCAGCACTACCCGCAAGAAATGGCAAGTACGCCAAGTCATTAGCGGCAAACCACTTACAGCTATCATCTCTATGAAGGCTGAAGCAGCTATTTGCTCAGAAATAAAGCTAAGATACCTACGCACAGCTGTCTTGTTTCTATTTCCTGAACGGTCTCGAGGACTCTGACAAGGCCACGTAGAACGGGTTTTGACGTCCAGGCCTCGAAGAGGAACCGGACAGTCTCACTGGGCAAGAGGGAAGGGGGATCGCTCACGAGTGGGATCAGGGCCACCGGACGCAAGAGTGCACGCAGCCAGCGGGGCGGGAGTCGACAGGAGAAGGCAAAAGCGTCCACACTCGGGGCACAATCTTTCTCAAAATATGTCTTTCAAAAGACCCCGAAACAGAAATGGAACTGAAAACCACAGACAGCGCACACGGCACCGACCCTCTCGGAAGGTCTCCAACTGATGGACGAGAAAGAGACGCGGCCAGAAACGTGAGCGTTACAGGCTCAGCCTCAGGAGCGGACGTGACGTTTGTAGTTGCAAAAAGTGTTTTCTGAGGATACAAATAGCTTTTCCAACATAAAAACAGTGAATAATCCAAATGAAATTAAAATTTTTAAGTGCTCTGAAGACAACTTTTTCCAAAATTCTGCAATCAAATCCTAATAAATTAAGGTGGTTATTTCCCATCTTTAACTAAGATCTACCAATCCTTTTAAAGTTATCTTACTTTTTCAGAATTCTGCATTAACCTCACGCATACTGTCATCAGTTTACACGACCAGAGAACCCTGCTGTCCAGATCTGTTTAGTTAATCCTATTTGGAAAAAATGAAAGACAGCAACACTGTGAAGTTTGGTACCTTCCCACATCCCACAGCGTCTGAACGTAGTATATGATCGTATGTAAAATTATAAAATAATGACACTCACTTCCTGTTGCTTGGGAACTCATCTGCCCTTAATTTCTATTAGAAAAGTAAAAGAAAACTTTGAACAGTGACTGGCACTGAACTACTGAATAACCCGTCGCCTTTCCTCCACTATTCCTTTACAGGTCCGGTTCCTCCAGACTGGAAAGGTCTTCCTGGCTTTCTTGATCATCCTGGAAACCCTGCAGGAAGCCATCCGCACTTAAGACAAGGCTCCTCTTTGTGAGCTTGTTCCTTGGCTCTATCAGGTCAACTAGAAAACACGCAAGAACACACACGCCTGCTTGACACAAACACTACCATGTTCTGTGTGTTCTGAGCTATTTCAAATTTAACCCCGTGCCAAATTTCCTAACATTTATTGACATTTCCACAACTGTCAGGGAAACACAGTGACCAAAACTCCTGTAACAAATCCTATTTCATCCTCCAGCGTATCTGAGGTTGATTTTAAAACACCTCTTCCAGGTTTCTTGTTCTGGCTTAAATAAATCTCAGGCATCAGCTGGCCTTCTTTCATAAACACTCCGGAGAAAAAGCAAGGGCACGGATCTTCTCCTTTTAAAGGTCCACAACCGTGGCCTCCAGGCGCACGCGCGAGCAGTGGCTCTCGGGGCAGGATCGTGCTCCGCTGTCGAAGCAAATGTCCTGACTTACCCGCCTCACACAATCTCCTGATTCAAGAAAACATTTGTGGGATAAGGAACCGCTTTCCCTCTCACATAGTTACCTAGTCTCTGGGAGGGTGGTATCCCACGGTCAAGGTGACAACATCCAAACCAAGAGGGGCCCTGCCAAAGCCCGCTTCCGCCGCTAACGCTGACGCAGTGGCCACACGGCGCCTCCTGGTTGCTTCTGCCCACCCGAGACACAAGCCGCGTCCCCTAGGCTTCAGTCCTTCCAATCTTGTGAACCCTGAGCACAGAGGTCTATCTTCCCATGAACCAAACAAGTGCTTGCAGTGAAAGGGACACAGGGCCACAGTCCTGCCGTCCCCGTAAGATGCCTTCTCAACCAGTGCTCTCTGGGGTTCATCAGGGAGAAATGTGGATAACGTCAACAAAGAAACCCAAAACACTACCCCAGCAGACCCTCCTCTCTTCTGAGAATCGTGATCTTCTTCCTATGAAATGCCCTGCAAAAACTGTTTCTGCTAAGAGCACCATTATGACTCTTGAGATTTCTTCCAGTGGCCTAACCAGGGAAATAATCTGTGTCACCCTGTTGCTGTTCTAATGATTAATTCCTATAAATCCTAAATCATCATAAATACTATTTTAAGCTATACGAATGAAAATCAGGCACACCTGAAGGCTGATGGGATGTGCAACTGAGACATAATACGCTTCAAACGTGGAATAAAACAAGAGTTCCATGGAATCAAAATGAGAACTAGCAGCCTCCTGGGAGGAGTGAGCGGGAAGCAGGCAGCACAGACTTTCCGGGAGCGGCAATATGAACCTAAGTTATTTTGGGAGAAAGATGGCTCAAAAGTTATACCTGAGCTAACGTTCAGTGTGGACAGGCCCCTTGAGCACAAGGATCTCACTTTCCTAATTTAATATCTTTTTTTTCTTTTTTTCAATGCTAAAACATCAGTAAGAGCCTACCTGACATTTTGGAGAATTTGCTGAGCTGGGATTGATATTCCGCATTGCCTAAGAGTAAAAAATAAGATGGATAAAAATTACTTTGAGCCGCATGGTTTGGCTGTGTAGGCTGACTTACAAATTTCATCCAGACACATGACCACAGCACAGGATTCCCAAGCCAGCCCAGGAAGCAGCAGACCGAGGAAGACGGGAGCCGACGGAGTCACAAGAAACCAAAACCTCCCCGAGGACTCAACAGCAAGGACAGGACAGCAAGGCTTGAGGTGTCAGGACCCAAATAAAATGCGAATTGGTCAGGTAGATTGTTTGCTTCTGAGAATCAGAAGCAGGAAAAAAAATATAATTTAATGTTTCAGTGATAAGAGAAACTAACAAATTCACAGGAAGCCAAAAGACTTAAGACATAATGAATTTATACTGATTGCCAAAAAACAAAACCAAAAAATCCTAACAAACAGACTATTAGTATAAGAATAGAGGAGATCTGTCACTTCCACATTAAGAAAAGACAACAACACAGTCAGTAGTAAAGAAGAAACAAAGAAATTACCCATAAAGGAAGCTATGTTGGCCAGGACCCATCACCCACAGGAAGAGAGAGAGAGAGAGAGACTTGGAAAAACTCTTTGGGAGGAAGAGTTTTATAAACAGCAGCATCGCCCATCACAAAAAAAAAAAAAAAAA